ACCCTTTTGTATGTATTTATGAAAATTAATTGAACCGTATTAAGGGCGGCAAATATTAACCATAACATCATTATCGAATATGTAACATCGTTATTGAACATACGTTTTAATCGTAATGTACGTATATACACATGGAATAATTACAAAACAAAAAAATAAAAATTTATTCGACTTGTCTATTCTGCAAAAATATAGAAAAAAAATATAGAAATGTGAGATCGACAGCGTCAGTGGAGTTTAATGCTGAAATTGACAATTATCTTTCGATGCAATCGGCCGTTTATAAACTACGGTGACGACGAAATATTGCTTTATCAGGATCGGTGTGACTTCGCATGTCTCCGATGGAGACGCAAATGGAACAAATTACCGTCTCGCGATAACGCGGACGTATACAAGATAGAACAGGCCGGAAGAATTTTCGTCAAAACTCGTTAATTCGAATACAAACCCTAGAGAAAGGGCTAAGAAATTGCATTATTCTACAGAGGTAATTTCAATCTCCCTAGCTTGTTGCTTATTGAAAGGCAGCTTCGGGGCAGGATGTACTTTTCCCAGCGGGTGATGAAATCGCGTTAATACCAGAATACCTAGTTTATATGTAACAACAACGAGTAAAGATTCTTCGAATTCAAAGTCCATGTCGGAATTGTCTCCATTAAGGCTCTTTTATCGATGCCTCGTTATCGCGGTCGTCCGCAATAAATTATAAAGTTCGAAGCGAGGAAACGAGGTTGAGAGAGACAGGGGGAGACATTAACGTGTCGTCAGACACGGGAGTGTAATAAATAATTCAACGAGGCAAATAAACTTAGCGCGTGTCGGTCTGAGGAAGGGAATTCACTTCGAATCCTGACATGCAATGCATTCCAGTATTTGCGTATTTGGTACCTACTAGCCGCGACCGAGAGAGGATATCGATTTCCGGAGACCGTCAATGTCTTATGAACTCAGATACAATCTGCTATCGTTGGGATTAGAAGATTGGTAATGAATAGTTAGCTTGATCAGGCGCCTATAATGGTCCGAAGTAATTGCGCGCGAAAATGTGAAAATTATTGAACTAAAGCAGGTTATACTTAATTTATTCTGTTAAACTTCTTCCTCTAAAACTTTATAAACGACTACTTAAGTAAGATAAAAGGAGCATGAAATTTATTGAAGAAATATATTAAATATTTTAAATTCCATATAAAATCGAACAATGCAAAATTTATGCTTTTCTATTCACACGAACAACTACAAAAATTAATAATTCAATTTAGAAGAACAACTAAAGTGTAATTTAAAAAATAATAATAGAATATATATATATA